TGGAAACGTAATTTTGTATATCACCAAGATCCCCATAAGGAGTCCCTCAAGGGGTATCATTTTATAAGCAAACACGTGTGGGGATATATTTAGTTTTTTTGCAGACGACTAAAATCAAAATCCTTCAGGATCCTTTTTAAATATATGTTTAAAAAAATCCTACAAAAAAATATTTCCAGGTTCCTAGGTTTTCATGTATTTAGACATTCCTTTAAAAAACTAAATTTATATTCTTTTTAGTTGCGCGGCCTATTGAAAAATAAAACAAAATAAATATATTGTCTTTTTAGTTTTGCACCCTTATATTTAAAAAAAGAAAAAACTAAATATGTCAGTTTTTTGTTTTGCATCCTTGAGAGAAAAAACTAAAACACACTAAATATTTGTTTGTTTATGTTTTGCGGCCTTTTGAAATGCACTAAAGAAACTAAATATTTGGTTTTTGTTGTTTTGCTGCATTTAAAGAAAAAACACTAAACCCACTAAATATTTAGTTTTTAGTTTTGCGGCCTTAAAAAAAATAAAACTAAAAAAAACTAAATCCTTCAGGATTCGAGGTTTCCAGGTATTTAGAAATTCCAAAAAAAATAAAAAACTAAAAACCTAAATCTTAGTCTTTTCTATTTTTAGTCTTTTTTAAAGGCCGCAAAACTAAAAAACCTAACAAACTAAATCCTTCAGGTTTCGAGGTTTCCAAGTATTTAGAAATTCTAAAAAAGCTAAAAAACTAAAAAAACTAAAAAAAAAAAACTTGAGGCCAGAGGGGGTGAACGAAAGCTAGCCGGGCCTCCTCGTCCAAACAAGTCGGGGGCGGGCTGCACAGTCACTCTCATTGGGTAACTGCCTGCAAGTCCCGTGGGAAACTCTAGAGAAGCAGTGTTAGTATGTGCTTTGTGGTGCGTCGAGTCTCATTCAGTAAGCAACTGCCACCTGACAGGAGCAGGTTTTGTTTGGTGCCCCCTTTCCATCACTTCTTTGGCTTGGTTTTTCCAGCGGTTGCTGACCACCCAGCGCCAGCAGCAGCAGCAGCAGCAGATCACCCAGCGCCAGCACCAGCAGCGGCAGCCCACCCAGCGCAGCAGCAGCAGCAGCAGCGCCAGCAGACCTCCCAGTAGCAGCAGCAGCAGACTGCCCAGCAGCAGCAGCAGCAGACCCCCCAGCAGCAGCACAAGACTCAAATGACACCGCCTGACTCCACGCCGTAACTAGTACGCGGGGTAGGGCTATGATGCAAGAAATGCCGCCTGCACATAGCACCCAAAAAGGTATTACTGTCCAATGTAGCTCCCGCTGCTGCTGGGTGGTCTGCCTTGGCTGCGTCTCCTGCTGCTGCTGCGGCCGCTGCTGCTGTTGTGTTTGCTGCTGCTGCTGCTGTTGTGTTTGCTGCTGCTGCTGCTGCTGCTGCGTTTG